TATATATATATATATATATATGAATAAATAATTTGTGTATATATAGTACGTTTACAGCATAAAAGTATTTAGGATATATCAACAGTATGTTATATATCATATAAATCGTATGTTCTTGTGCATGTTTATTATAACGCATAAGCTGTGTTTATGAGGTGCGCTACAAAATGTACACACAGCTAGCATACATACGGTACGCGTACGCATACACATTTGTGTGTTTGCTGCTACTGCTGCTGCTGCAGGAGAGAAGCGCGGCAGCCGACGCGACGGCACTACTTGGATGGAGCGTTGGGGTTGTGGGGCGGGAGGAGAAGACAGATGGGTGGACAAGAGCTGGGAGGAGAAGGAGAATGGAGGAGAAGTGCTGCTGCGGTGGGGCAGCAGCAGCGGCAGCAGCAAGGAGCAGCAAAAAGAATGGGAGCAGCAATGGTGGGAAAAAGAACATTGGAATGGAGGCAGCAAATTTGTTGAAAAAATAGAAAAAAACAGCAATGGAGATCGACATACACTCAAAGAAGGCAACGAATGGAAACGAACGTCCGCTATTCTCACAGATACTAAGCCCTAAACCCTAAACCCGAAACACCCCATTTTAAGCCTAGCAAACGTTCCCAACACCCTCGAAACCCTTAGCGCTATAACCCTAGTAACGGAGGCAGCACACACTAGCGTTATAGATAAACCCTAAACCCTAAACTACCACCATACTGGACGCCGCTTTTTTGTTAATCCCCTAATCAGAGTCCACGCGGGAGCCAGGGACATAAGTGGCAGGGGACATGAATGGCAGGAGACGCAGAGACAGTCTGTGTCCTAGATAAACTACAAGAAGAAAAAACAAACTACAGAGGGAGGCAAACATCTCCGCCGGCGGCGTGAAGGGAGAGTGGCGCAGGAGACAACAGGGAGGAGACTTGGGTAGCAGAGCTTTCCCCAGAGCTCTAAAGAGTTACATAGGGTTTAGGGTTTAAGGTTTAGGATTTCCAGTGTGTTTGTTGCATTCCTCAGAGAGCACAGCGACAGAGAGGTTACTTCTTGGTTTGAAGAAAGATTTGGAAATCACCAAGAGACGCAATGGGCAGTTAAAAAAGGAGGAGATCAGAATGGAGAATGGACAGAAAAATGGACAGAAAAACCCTCCGAAAAATCCGCCGAAAAATCCGGATGGAACAAGTAAACCCTAAACCCTGGACCGCATCGTATATGTATTGGATTGAGGCTCTTCAACCGAAACCACCAAGCAAAAATTAGTTTTCAGCACACTTTAAACCATAAGTCACTGAAAACCCTGGTGCCGATAAACTGCACACCCTACATGTCCAAAAAACCTGAACGCCTCAACGTTAAACCCTTTATATGTGTGTGGTGCATTCTAAGGCATTTTGTGCTTTCTTTGCTGTTGGGAAGAAATTGCTGCCGCTGTTACGTAAAGTTACTCGGCCTCTTCTCCCGGAGGCCGAGGGTCTAGGGTTTTAAGATTTATGGTTTTGGGTTTGTGCAGGCAAGGAGATACATGGGAGGAGCGGTGGCGAGAGAAATTTGACGGTGACACCAAGACAGAAACGTGGGCAGAGAAGAAGGGAAGCAACGCAACGGTGTGTATTTTGAGGGTGTGCTTGTTCTCTGTTGTTTAGGGTTGACGGGCTGCCACTTGTTTTTCGTTTTTTGCTGTGTTTTGTTCGGTGGTGTTTTGGCCGTACGATTCCTCTGGGGTTTACCTGTGAATGTTAGTCTTTAGGGTTGGGGGTTTTGGTGTCACGCCATTTTGTTTTTGTAAAGCTCTATCCTCAGGAGTGCGAGTCGGGAAGTTCCGCGAGGAAGGTTTTGAGTGCAGTAGGGTTTACGGTTTAGCGTTTATGCGCAGGGTGAGAGTTGGATGGAGACATGGGAAGAGCGTTGGGGTTGGAAAACGGCCCACAAAGAGGCACGGGATGCATGCGGCAACAGGAGAGTTGAGCGTTGGGGGGAACAATTCTTTGATGACGGCAGTGGGCAGAAATGGGCGCAACACTGGCAAGAAGAAAACCCGCAAAATAACCCGCATCAAGGGGACTCCCAAGGGCCTATTCGCAGCAGCGGAAAGAGCTGGGGGGATAGATGGGGGCCCAATGGCGTCGGGGGGCATAGGTGGGGTGAAGAATGGGGAGAAGGAGGATGCAGAAAATGGGCACATGATACACCAGGGAGGCCTGAAGGCTGTTAATAAGCCAAGGTCAGCAACTACGAATACCGTTATTGCATGCAAGTATGGATGCATGCATGCAGGGTCTGTGCGGAACAGCAGCAAAATATTGCTGCAGACACCGAATGGGTTTAGCTTGATTCGTGGTTCATGGGAAAAGTGCGGGGCCCCTCGTAGGGTCTGCAGCAGCAGAAGGGGTGTGCAGTAGACATCCTTCACCCCTCGTCCCCTTTTATTCTCTCCTAAATGTTTTATGCTGCTTGCTCCTTCATTGCAGTCGAAGAAGGCTGCTTTGGGAGCTTGATGCATCCACAGTGGATTATGTATTGCTTTGTCTGGGCCTGTGAAGTGCTTCAGGTGTATATGCAGCTCATGGGGTAATTAACGTGTTTCATGTGTATGTGCAGCTCGCGTCTCCTTTGTAGTTAACTTGTTTCAGGTGTATGCGCAGCGCTTGTTTCCGTGTAATTGACGCGCTTCAGGTGTATCTGCAGCTCGCTCTTCACAGGGAAGGAACACGCTGTGGGTGTATATACAACTTATGTTGCACTTGTAGTTAATCTCTTTCGGGCGTATGTATGTACAGCGCCTGCTCACCCTTGCTCATGCATGCGGTGTACTTCCGCCACACGAACGCGGTGTGAGGGTTTTATGTCCCTTTTTCTTTTTTTTAAAGACAAGGGGCAGACAGGATAAATTGTGCTCGATTCAGGGTATTATGCAGTATTTATATACGATGCATGTACCTAGGTGTACATAAAATGCACGCAAGACGTGGCTGAATAGACAGGTGAATACAGAGGCATAGATGCAGATATATTAGAATATAATTCCCAGTACGCACGCTGATATATAAGTTGTAGATACTGTTCCATGCATGCACTCTTCCTAACCCTTAGGATAGAAGGTGCATGAATGCATTGTTCTTGACGCTGAGAATAGGTGGTGCATGCAGCCCTCTTTGCTCTTACCAGCGACAGAAGACCCTATAGGCAGACTATTTGCGGGAGAGTGCAGCGCTGGACAGGAACATATATTCAAAAGCCGCTTTTTCTTGGTTGTTGAGGTGAATAAATGGTTGCCACTGAGCCGATGCATGTAGCATAAACAGGATCTGATGTTTGTCGTTGTGCTGTGCATACGGCCGAGTGTAGAGAGAAATATTAAATAAGACGGGACGTGGATGGAAGGTGGCAGGCTATGGCTCCCCCGAGGGTGCACGCACTAAAGAGTACCGCAAAGAAAAGAAACAACAGAAGTCCATATGCTGCTTATCTGGTATCCGCAGCTGTTGCTGTTGCTGCTTTGGGTCTTCTTCTCTAGTGCAATGCATTTGTTCATCTGCAGTTCTGTTGCTGCTGCTGCTGCATGAAGACTATGCTGCTCAACAGCAATATGAGGCCTGCTGCTCAGTAACAATATATGAAGACATCACGTTGTAGTGATGCGGGAGCAACTTCTTTTGTTCATGAGACAACTGCTTCTATGTCCCTGCAGCTTGTTGTCTTGTACTTATACAGCGTTGAGGAGATATCTACTGCACAGATATGGATAAGAGAAACAAACATATGCAGCTTGTGGAGAATGGGGAGGAAAACAAAATGCCGTGCACACCAGCATCTACTGGTGGTCTATTTGATGCTATTAGAAATGGAGTTCACGTGTTCGACGACTTTCTGCAGCATGGGCGAGCAGCTAGCCGTCAATACGGTGTCTAGACACTATAAAATAAGCTAAAGTATGATTAAAACTTCACCAAAATCGCAGAGAGGATTAACTTGAGGGCAGCTTTCTCATCATCCCAAAGCCTGAGTGTGTGTGCTGTGCATGAGAGGACAGCAACTTGCGTGCTGAAGAGGAACCAACGACCAAATATATAGAATGAAATATGTAGAGTGCTTGTATTTAGGCAATTTAATATTTATTTTTGAAGTGGAGTAATCCAAAAGGAATCCATAGCATCCATTAATGAAATTATACCTACACACACGCAAGAACTGCATGAGGGCGGGGCTGCAGGCGTTTGATGACAGCTCAGCACGGTACAGCACGCCTGCGCGAATCGGAGGAAAGTTCTACTAAAATTGTATTTTTATATGTGTTTATGTTAAGTTTTCTCGGAGAAATTCCCTTATTATGGCCTCTGCATCCACAGCATGAGTGCTAGCGGCTTATGCAGCGGTGGCTCCTCTGCATGCACCACCCCCCTCTAAACTGCTTAAAGCAAACGAAAGTGAAACTTCCCAATTCTTTTTTGCTGCAGAAACTGCAGATAATTTGAGGTGTACGCACACCTCACCCAACGCGCAATCACCACGCTTTGGCCGGCGGACAGCTTATCCTCTTTCCTTAGTTCGTATTTTCGGCACCCCGGTCAATTGAAATATTGTTATATTCCCCTTGCTTATTCTGCACAAATAGTCAACGATGTCGGACGGCCAGTACTCGTTCAGCCTCACGACCTTCTCGCCTAGCGGAAAGCTGGTGCAGATTGAGTATGCGTTGAACCGCGTGCAGCAAGGCGCCCCTGCTTTGGGCATCAAAGCGAAGAACGGAGTGGTCCTAGCAGCAGAAAAGAAGCTCCCAACTCCTCTCCTTGAACCTCATACCATCAGCAAAGTTGATACCTTCACCCCCTCCGTCGGCTGCGTCTTCGCAGGAATGCCGGCGGACTTCAGGGTGGTCCTCAAGAAGGGCAGAAAGGAAGTGAGAATATGGAGAAACCGAACAGAAATGACCAGAACAGAATTATTTACTGCACATACACCACATGCAGCACGTATAAACCCAGTACACCAAACCCAATGAGATAAATGAACTCACAGCATAGAATCCTACAAGGCGGTTCTAATCAAGAAAAAGAGCAAGTGTACATGCGGCAGGAGATGCAGTTGCATGCAGATTGTGTAGAGTGAACTTGCATGAAACAAAGCAGCGAGTCTCTGGTGACTGTAAAATATGTAAATGCTTGAAAGGGAGAAACAGAAGCAGCAAAAAAGATATAGACAATGCAACAAAGACAGCAGCAGCGACAAGAAGCAGCGGAAAGAGATAACAGACAAGGAAGCATATTTTAGGCTGAATTTGTTGCGAAAGCTGAAGAAGTGTAGGCAGCACCGCTGTTTAAATCACCGTGAAGCCAGCTGTATTCTTGTTTGTTGCTGCAGGCTGCTGCATACGAACTTTATTACAAAACCCCGATGCCTACAAACCAGCTAGTGCAGGGAGTCGCCTCAGTTATGCAGGAGTACACTCAAAGTGGGGGTGTGCGACCATTTGGCATTTCGTTGCTGGTGGCAGGGTAAGCTTTCGCTGCTGCTGCTTTTGCAGTTCCTTATCAGCGCCTAGCTAGCTGGGCGTGTTATCCAAGCGAGCTAGCCATGCATGAATGCAGTGTAGCAGGCTAGCTTGGCATGCATACAGGCATGCAGGCATGAATTAAAACATATGTATGTTTGTGCGGTTTGATTAGATACGACGACTTCGGGCCTCAGCTGTACCAGGTAGACCCCAGCGGCGCGTACTTTGGATGGAAGGCGTCAGCAATTGGCCGCGATATGCAAAACGCAAAGACTTTCCTGGAGAAGAGGTGGGTGGGGGGAATAAAAGATTGAATTGGTGAATGCATGCGAATGGTGATTTGTTTAGAAACACACTAGAAGAACTTTAGAAATATATGCACGATTAACATGTTCTTCACAACGGTGTAAAGGTAGAGAAAAAATGGAATCTGTCGGGTTTTGTGTCGGTCAGTCTGTTGCTAGACTTCAGTGCTTTCCATGCTAAATGTCTGTTGTTAGTACATCGCTGTGAAATAAAACTGGAGCGTGACGATGCTTGCATCGCCCTTTGCTCTCATTTAAAGAGAATACTTCGCCTCTGCGTTTTCATGGGATAGATTGGGGAGCATGAGGGAGCAATTTCTTGTTTGTGGGTTGTGGGTTGGTGTATGCTTTCACCTGCAGATACACCTCAGATATAGAACTCGAAGACGCAATTCACACCGCCATTTTAACTCTACGTGAGGGATTTGAGGGGGCGCTGACAGAGAAGTCAATTGAAATCGGAGTTATAGGGGAAGATCGCAAGTTTAGAGTGCTGACTCCAGCAGAGATAAAAGACTACTTAAGCGAAGTGGAGGTCGGCACTGCCTAAATCAACAGTGTTTTCGGGTGTATGTTCACTTGTAAACAACTGTAAATAATTTATATTACTGGTCAGGGTCAGTCAAAGCCCGATTTGTGCGTTTATCTGCATTAGCAAATAAACCTCTTCTACGGCTCCTCTTCTACTTGGACTTTCCGCTCAAATTCTGCAGAGAAAACCCCAAGGGCAATTGCCTTATGGTGAATTACACCAACTGAAATATGCAGCTTATGCGCTTCGTGCACAAAAGGAAGCTGACGATACGAGGCGGTTTAACGCAGATTAGCAGTGACAGATAGAGTAGACACAGCACACAGTAAACAGTAATGGCGTGAAGCTAACAGGGGTAGAGGCGCTGATAGACAAATATACCTCTTGTTTGAGCTGCATTACGAGAAAGTGCAACTGTTGTTGTGTACGAAACTATATTGAGCAGCGGTCGTACGAGATAGTTTAAAGAACAGCCGAAGTGGCATCTAGGGATGCGTGTCAGTGTTGCAGTGTGCCCGCATGAAGTGTATGTTTCCCCCATCTGAGGTTTGGAAGTTGGAGCGTGGCTCGTGCATGCAACAAACCCAAGAACCATGGAGACGAACAGTTTATACAGTTGCTACGTCCTCGTCCTCCGTAGCGAACACAGTGGCAGTGAAAGCATCATATAGCTATACTGATAAAGTGACGGCTAGCCACAGCTAGGTGAGAAGAGAGCGAAGCAACTAGCCTGATTAAGTAGTTGTATGAACCTGTCGCGCCCACCGAACGTTACTAATGCATTAATTATCTTTGTAGTTGTGTTTACGGGTGGCGATTAGAACCTGCTGCCTGCTTGCTTAAAGGTGCGACTTGTCCCATGTCGCCCGTTCTGGTCTTCTGAGGCTTCCGCTCTCTAGCGGTCAGCTGGCTAGTCCGGCCATTGCACGGCACGTCCAAAGAGCCGCCTCTCAAATCCAGAGAGCTCATTATTCACCCGAAGGATTCGGCGCTCCATTGCTATAGTAAACTGCCGCCACTGGCTGCCTTACAACTGCCTAGCTCAGGAGTTTAGTTATGGAGGATCTAACAGAATTGCCGGGTTTGTAGACTCCTCTGACATAGCTAGATGCCGCATACACACAAAGATCATAGTAGTCAAGTTGTGCGCATGCGGCATCTACTGGTCAAGTTGTAGTAAAGCACATGCACCCAGTCCGGAGATACCATGCTAAACACCGCACAAGTCGGTCATAGTGGTCAAATTGTGCCAACTTGTGCGGTGTGTAGCATGGTATCTTCGGACTGGGTGCATGTGCTCTACTGGGTAGCAGGCTGGCTACTGAAAGCGAACTTAGTCTCGTTTGCAGTTGTTTTTACCATTAGTTCAAGCATATGAAGGGGTTTGGAGTTGCTTCACTATTATGGTATTCATTATGGTACCTTGAAGTGCTGTTGCAGGAAGGGTTACTGGAACTCTTGACGGCTGGGTCTTCTTTGCACCAGCCCCAAGCCCCGGGGCTGCTGTGACCAGGATGCCTGGAAAATCTCAAGGCAAGGAAACTAACACCATGGCCCAGATGCAAAGCTAATGGGGGCAAGTGGCAGTAGCACCTGCAGATCCTCCTCGAGTTACCTTGTACTAATTTTCAGGAGTTGCCACCATGCTAGCAAACAGGCTGAGAAGTTGTCGGAGATCGGAAGCTACTGTGCAACTTTCTTCTTTACTCATTTGAGCAGACTGGGCGGCGACACTTGGCCGACGGTAGACAGGACACCATAATAAAAAAAACGTATGGGGGAAGCATGCCAACGTGACTCAGAAGGTGGTCACATTAAATGGCATGGGCCTCCTACGTTCGCCCATTCCACCATGGAATAATCGTAGGCATGCAGTGGGTGACTAAATGGAAGGTGCGCCAACGGTTTCTCGAGGCCGTTGGCAATTTGGCGCTTTATGCAGCGCGAAGGAATCAACGCTCCCTACACACTTTGCAGCCTGTAATGTAGGAATACTGCAGTGAGCTGCCCAGAAAAAGGGCGAGGAAACTTAAAAGCAATGCATCGGGATCGCCGCAAACAATGGAGGGCTCCTGTTCCTCCATTGTGTTCTTGTGAAGATATCGGTTCTAATGGCTGCCATACATTCAACAGCGCAGTAACAAAGAAAGTGGGAATAAGTCGAGCAAGTGTAGCATGCCGATCTCTCGCTGGGAGCCCGATGAACCTCGTCGAACTTACTCGTGCAGCATCATCAAGCTTTATTCCGCGATACAAAATGCCTCCCAATCGCGATAGGGAAGTCGACCTGTAAGACGATAAACTGCTGAAAGAGGGCAAACTTTTATACGTCAAACGGCAAACTGAGACAAAATCCGGTGATTTCGAGCAAACACGGAAGCCAGTAAATCTGCACCGGCATATAGCTATAAGATTGAATATATACTAAAGCACTTGGAGCGTCAATCGGCCATTCGTCAATCGACTTCTCTGAAGCGTTTCTTCCTGTCCCTTCACATCCAAAGGAGAAACAGAGACAATCGCCCGCAAACTTGAGCACTCGCGTGCGCACTGAACACGTAAATAGATCTGCCGAAATGTAAGGGTAGCTTGGTGAGAACATCTTGGGGTCGCTAGATATCAGGTGGATGGTTACATACATAGACGATGGGCTTGTATTCAGGGCGAACGAGGTTGGACACGTGAAGCGCCTTCGGCGTTTGCTACAAACTACTACGCGTAGAATGGGGATAGGCAAAAATAAAATACTATTCGCGTGCTACGCAGGAAGTAGGTCTCCTAGGGTCGCTGCTCCTCGCAGCAAAAGTTTAACTATATCCGGTGAAAGTAGAAGCTATTCGGAGGTGGCATCTCCTTCTGCACACTACGAGGGGCGTCCAGAAGTTCTTCAGTCTCGCGTTGCAGAATTAAGAATTCTCCACCCATTCTTCCCCGCAAAAAGGGAAAGAGACCGGAGGCCCATCGGGGGAGGACAGAAGTATTCAGTAAACTAGAATGACCTTTACATTATCTGGTGTGAAGTAGAATTGTCAGCAGTACTTTCGTAGCAAGTATTCAGAGGGTTAACCGGATTGTCAATCCGTAATGCTCCAGCAGGAGAACCGTCGAGGATCCACTGAGATGCATGCAACCCCCCACCCAGGTATACTTCGGATCCACAGCTGACACCACTAGCTTTTTTTCACGCTTTGTCGGCTGGGCTTCTTTTTGTGGACTGGCCAAACCCTCAAGTCATTACCCCCCTGTTGCTGCTGGTGCCCGGCGGTTGTCTGCATGCGAACTGCTTGGAATACCCGAATTTTTGGCCCATTGCCCCTTAAATTGATTCTTTTTTTGCCACTGATCACCACAGGTGCTGTAAGACGCATGCCTTTAGCATCAGCAGCACCACCGACAGGGGCCGCCGTTCCTTCGCGCTTTTCCTGCTTCTACCCTCTTCTCCGGTGCTCCGGTCCATTGCCCCACTCCGGTCCATTGCCCCCATCCCAACCTCCATCAACTGCCTCGATGTACTTAGATCTATTGAAGCTTTAAGTTTGCGAGGAATTGTGATGCTTGGACACAAAGTAAGGGTGAAATAATGCACAGTCTGCCCGTCGTAGGTGGATGCGCTCCATGGAGAGGAGGTTGGCTTATGACGGTCACGGTGTCTAAAGAATTGTCTACGGCAAACGTGCGTGACTCAAAGGGGCTTGGATATGGTTTCATGAGGAGCTGCGTAGTAGCGCGAGCTGCATTAAAACGTAATTCAACTTACATTAAGCCACTTGTGTTCCACGACAGCCTCATGCCCGCGTGTCGCTCTGTTGAAGAAGCCTCGAAGCTGAATGGACGGTCAACCCGCTATGAAGAACTGTAATTTCAAGTATTTTAACTCCGAGGCAGCTCGCGTCGGCCCCCCGCTATGGTTGAGGAGTCGGGATACGGGGTGTGGGGATGGGGGGTTATGGCGTCCGTGCAGCATGTGCATCTAATGGCATAAATAGAGAGTAGGCGTTTTTCTAGTGTTTTTTTAAATGGGAAAGGTGAAGAAAACAGGGTAAATTATATCGCTCCGTGTCCCACCAACCCCATGGAGGTGTCAAATGTACACCGCACAGAGAAGAGGGCTCAGCGGCCGTTGCTGCATGCGGGGCGGCCCTGTCTGGGCTTCGTGAATCTGTTCGTTCTGCCTGTAAATATAGTTGATTAGCAGCAGAATAAATTGAATTTAAACCGCTGCGAAACGACGTTTGCCCTTCTTGCTTCTTCCCTGGCGCAGGAGGCAGCAGCAACCGCAGCCACGGCAGCAGTAGCACCTCCTCCACAGACACCTCCCCTGTTCAAAATGGCGGCTCTCGAGCAAAACCCCGCCGACGAATTGGTCGATTATGAGGAAGACGAGCAGCAAAACGACACAAAGGTAAAAGGAGATTCTCAAACACAACACCTGCTGCGGGCCCCCATCGCGCGCACGCGACCTCTTGCCTGTTCCCCCACGTGGCCTCTTTCTTCCTCTTTCGCCGCTTTTTAATATCTTCAAATATATATATATTCCAATTCTACCTAGATTTTCAGCTTCTGGTCCTCTCTGAGCTGCAAACTGCATACGGGGGGAGTCATGGGGGCGCCAAGCAGTGCCCGGCGTCCGCAGCGGGAGTAGTGGTTTTTTTGGCATATTTCCGTCGCTAATTTGGCTTCTTTGCAAATCCAATGGCGAAAGGCCTGGAGGAGATCGTGACAAGAATCCACGGACGCTGGAGGAGCTCTGTGTATATGTGCCTATTCATATGTGCATGGGCATTGTATCTAGACGTCTATATACAAATCCATATGTATGTGCATATGAGGTAGATGCAGTATTGAGAACCAGGTGCATAGGAGGCGCCTATGAGGGGGTGTACAAGGGGTGTACAGATACCGCCTCAAGGCAGCCTTGGATGTTTTCGGGGGTATGAAATTTATCCATTGTAATGGTGGCTGATTGCAGTGTGTGTTTGCCTTTATTTCGTTTGCATGTGCTGCGGGGCTGGGTGTTTCATCCGTTTTTTGTGACACCTGCCCCCTTTACACCAAGAGAGGCGATTCATCAGGATCTAGGGTCTAGGGTTTAGGGTTTGCATGCAGGAGAAGGGTGTGGGCGAGGAAGCAGTAGGTCGAGGCAACTACGTCTCCATCCACGCCAGCGGCTTCCGCGATTTTTTCCTCAAGCCAGAGCTCCTCAGGGCCATAGGAGACGCAGGTATGCAGACATAGCTGCTAGTTGACGCAGCTATTAACGTACTGCATTGCTAGTGAGCAAGCAGGACAATTAGTACCAGTGCATGCACTGGAAGGCCACGAGCTCATTTTGTTGTGCACATGGCATTTTGCTTGCTGTGCAGTTTTCGCTGCCAGGTGTACAGATGGTTGTGCGTATGGCGATGCACACAGATTGATGCCTTTGTAGCTGTTGATGCGCCTGTCCCATTAGAAGTTTTCCCCAGTTGATGTGTAGGATTTAGTGCATATTTTCCGTTTTGCGAAGTTTGTACTTGCCTGTTTATTTGTGTTTGTGGTGTTTCTCGGTATTCTCTAGTTGGTTGATGTTTATTTGTGTGTGTATTCAAATGCTTCTTGTGTGTGTCTGTTGAGTGGGTGTTTCTCCGCGTGGATTTTGCGTGTTGATTCTGTGGTCGTTGAGTCACGGTAGTCTTGCATTGTTTTTTTGGAATTTGTTTGCTTAGTTGTGTGTGATTTCCTCTTGCAGGTTTCGAGCATCCCTCTGAAGTGCAGCATGAGACGATCCCCCACGCAATTACCGGCGTAGACATTTTATGTCAGGCGAAGAGTGGTATGGGAAAGACAGCGGTTTTCGTGTTGTCGATATTGCAGCAGCTCAACGTCGACTCAGCAGCAGCAGCAGGCGCGGGGGCGGCTACCAAGCGCGCCGGTGGCGGCGACGCCGCAGAGGGAACTTCTGCCACTGCAGCAACATCAGCAGCAGACAGCAGTGCTGTGCCTGGAGTCATGTGTCTGGGGCTGGCCCACACACGCGAGCTGGCGTTTCAGATTAAGAACGAGTTTGAGCGTTTCAGCAAGTACCTGAAGCACGTCAAATGTGAAGTCGTCTATGGTGGCGTGCCCATTCAGAAGAACATCGAACTGCTCGCAGACCCCAAACGCGTCCCGTCCATCCTCATCGGCACCCCAGGCAGAGTCCTTGCACTACTCAAGGGCAAGCATCTCGACCCCAGCAAGATTGCTCACTTTGTCCTAGACGAATGCGACAAGTGCCTCGAGAAGCTCGACATGCGCAAAGACGTACAGTCCATCTTTGTCTCTACACCCAAGAAAAAGTCAGCCGATGACCTTCCTTCAGTGCTGTGTTCTGCCGATTTGAATTGGGAAACTCGTGAACAGATACTAAGCTTCTGTCCTGGGTTCTTAAGGTGTATGTTGCGCGCGTTTGCTACTCGAATCAAACCCATTCGGGCTTCTAGGTCGGCTGGGCTGCTGCACGGGCAACTGCTGCTGGAGCTGCAGCAGCAACTGGTGTTGCACTTGGTGGTGATGATGTTGCTGCTGCTGCGTCTGACAGACAAGTCATGTTCTTCTCGGCCACGATGGGGCGGGAGATGCGGGCAGTTTGCAAGCGCTTTATGCAAAACCCGGTGGAGGTCTTCATCGACGACGAGAGCAAGCTGACCTTGCACGGCTTGCTGCAGTACTACGTGAAGTTGGCAGAGGCAGACAAGAACCGCAGGCTGAACGATTTGCTGGATTCTCTCGAGTTTAACCAGGTCATCATCTTCGTGAAGTCTGTATCAAGAGCCCAGGCCCTCAACAAACTCCTCACCGAGTGCAACTTCCCATCCATCGCCATTCACGCCGGCCTTGACCAGGAGGAAAGGTGACTTAGAATACTCCGATGGAAGCGTGGCTTCAAGCAGAGGAACAACGATGCCAAAAGCTGCCTGTCCTTCAGTTTTTCTCTTTCTTCTTCGTTCTCATGAATCGGCGAGGTTTCTCTCGCGGCTGTTGCGCTGGTGCTCAGGATCAACCGTTATCAGCAGTTCAAGAACTTCGAAAAGCGCATTATGGTCGCCACCGACCTCTTCGGGCGCGGAATCGATATTGAACGTGTCAACATCGTCGTCAACTACGATATGCCGGAGAGCAGCGACTCTTACCTACACAGGTAGGCAGGCTTGACATGGATGGTTGCATACCCACGAACGTGCGATCTGTTCTATGGACACCAGCTGCGTGCATCCCGACGCACCGATGGAATTTTGTTGACGAATGTGAGAGACAGTGCTCGTCTGGTTGTATATGTTTTGGCTTTTTTCAGGGTCGGCCGTGCTGGCCGCTTTGGAACAAAAGGGTTGGCTGTGACCTTCGTGGCTAGTCAGGAGGACACGAACGTGTTGAACGATGTGCAGACGCGTTTTGAAGTTCACATCCCAGAGATGCCTGCAACAATTGACGCTTCTCAGTACATCAACCAGTAAAGAGAAGATAACAGCTGCTGCACAGCGTTGAGTTCTATGTGCAGTCGTGATGGGGGGAGGAGAACTTCTTTGCTAGGCGGCGGTGCCCTTGACCTATTCTTACAATTGATTGACGGGCACTGCAGCGTTTGACGCGAGCCGTTTTGATGTAGACAAACTCATCGCGCTCGCTCCGCCTTGCTGAAAACCGAAGGATTGCTGCTGTCCACGAGTGTGACCACTTGTTTTGGTTGCTATGACCGAGCCGGCGGCTGAGAATTATGCCGCTGAGGCGACAGCAGAGTTGGCAGTTGGGGCAGTGGGAAGTCAAGGGGCAGTTCAAGACAAGAGCCTTTGAAACCTCTTCTCGATCTCGTGTTGTTTACGTCCGTATTCTGCAGTTGTTAGAGTATTGTGCTCTCTTGCAATACAGACGGATACATGCATCCATTCCTCCGCATAAAACAGATGGGGCGGCCTAGGCCGTGAGTCTTGGTCTGTCCGTCGGGGGAAGGCTTCTGGCGAGAATTTGAGTGTCACAAAACAAAGGTTGAATTACGCTTTAATTGTACTTCGGCCACTCTACCGGAGCGGGAGCGTAGCGAGCAAACTGGGCTGCATTATGAGGCATTAGTCGCTGTTTTTTATTCGTAGAGCAGTATGCCGACAATCTGTAGATAACATAGACCTTGCAACTGCAATGGGGATGTTGCTAGGCATAGCCTTCGGATCCGATGCACAGTAGCAGTGTCTGCAGTGATCTATTGTCAGAACTCACTTAATTCACTAAGTGTTTATTTCAAAAGGATGTCTAAACCTTATATTAAGGGTTTCTGTAGGCGATTTCAAGAAGGGGAGTGGAAGGGGTGCGCCGAGCAGGGGGGAGTGGGTTTGTACGGGGTGTTGAATTTGTAGGCCAACTTTATACTGAATTTTAGCTTTTTTAATATTTAAATGAATTGTGTTTTTAATTTAAGCGTATCAAATTACATGTAAAGCTATCTCAAGTTCTCCGGGGCCTCGTAGAGGACCTGGGCTGGGCTGGTGGGCGGAGAGGTCTGTGGGCGGCCGGCCGCTGACTGTAACTGCGAAATTGGGCGTAATATTCAACAATTGTGATTTAAGAAGGAAATCAAAGTTCATTTCTTTTTTGAAGACAGAAAACCCATCGAGAGAAACTCCCAAAGGATCAAAGAGGCGTATTCAATAACCCAGCGCAGTCGCGGCACTGCGGACTGCCGTTTCCTTGCAGGTTTGCGACCCCGTCTAAGTTAATTCAGGCGAAGTCTTCTGTTCTAAACACAGGAAATCCCATCATTATCTTCTGATTGGTGTTATTAGCAGGACGTACGCAGCAGGCTAGCACTTATCCTAAGGCGCGATACCCCCGCAGCTACAACAGCAGCATCAGTAGCAGCAACAGCAGCAGCAACAGCAGAGGCTGTGTCTTCTCCGCCTTGGTCTGTCTTGACTTTGTGCTCTACCCAGCTGGCAGGCACGGGTTCAGCTGTCTTCTCAGGTCGTAAAGGGTCTGTTGGCGCGGCACTTACTGCTGGCTGCACAGGGCCCCGTGTCTTTCTGTACGGCTTGGGGCTGAGGGGCACGAAAGCGTTTAAACGACCCCTTTTTTTGCGTCTTTTGCATAATCCTCCAGTACCCTACTGCGTCCTGCATACAGCTACAGCTGCAGCAGTCCCCAGCTGTGCGCACAACCTGCAGCAGACGTGTTCCCAAGGAAGATAAAATGGTGCAAGGGAAAGACGCAATGCCCGGCCAAGCCTCGACTCAGAACGATACACCAGAACAGATGAAAAAAGTGAATCTCGGTTTTACCCGTAAACAGGCCTTGCTATCGTGACATGAAATGCTGGGACCCATGCGATACTCGTGCAGTGAATATCGTTACCTCCGTATCGTTTAGTTCTGCTCATTTCGTTTACTTTTTCACGTTTTCCGTTTGTTCAGGAGATGTGGGATGACGCCGAAGTTGAAGAGTTGGATACAAAGGTTTTCGTGGACAACGTAAGACAGCGGTGCCTGCCCGTGTATATATGGTATTTAAACATATAACATATCTACATGTAGTGCTAAATAGCTCGGGTCTAACGTAAGGAATGGATCTTTTGTTCTGCGTGTTGTTGCGGGGCAGGACACAGAAGGAGGAGACACAGGTAAAGATTGGCTGCCGTATGTCATTGCCTCCTTCTTTCTTTCTGTTGTCTTTCCTCCCCTCGGCTGCGTCGCCTTTTGCCTGTCTTTAGGTACGTGTGTTCTTCTCTTCGGAATCAAATTCCAGAAAGTTTCATATAGTACAACGTAGTACCATTTTCTGGTTTCATGTAGCCGTTCTTGTTGCATTAAGGTGACCTTGTAGGGAATGTAAAATTGAAATCCTCTCCCCACACGTCCATCATACGCACACACATATATTATGTATTTTTTACTTCAGTCACTAATAATATCGGCTAGTATGGCTAGTATGCAATAATCTACAGTACTGCAGTACTGCACTGAAAACACGCCAACATACGATCCGAATACAACGGCAGACGTGCAATAGCAGCAGCAGTTAAACAACCCAAGCAGGATATATCTGGTCTATTAGGGTTTATCGAGTGGTCTCAAATAGGGCTTTCTTGTGTGTTCGTGTTTTGCAGGGGCCCCTGCGGGGTCTAAGAGGGCCGTTTGGGCGGAGCGCGCGCTACGTATTGGTTCTCTCCTGTCTTTTGTTTACACATTGTTGCTTGCGATGCTTCTGAGTGAATATTACTATATTCCCAATAGCGGCGCAGTCCTTGGCTATGGCTTTTAAACTCGGCAGCTACACACAGAGAACATAGTTTGCTGGTGTCGGCTGTGTCGAGGCGGCTCGGGTGTACGTACATTCGTACACACCAACGCGTATGATTTCACGTTTCCTGCACCTTTAGTTTATACTTCTATACAGGAGCACCCACAGACGTTCGACGCAGCCTCACACTGCTGGACGTCCCGTGCGGGAGATGTACGCATGCTATAATATATCGCATGCAGATGTTCACTACATCTACGTTTATATTGCATGTACGTGCATATTACATCTAAATGCCTATTACTTAGTGTATATTGCATGCTCATGCACTTTGATTTATTCACCTTTGGAGCCCACTACCCATTTGCGCGGTTGTGGTAGCGGGCAGGGTGGGAGAGGAGGACCAGTTTGGTTCCTCTTTGGGCTTGTCTTTTGTTTGAGAATCAAATGATGCAATTAGCAAATGGTAAAACCATACAATTATCAACAATACACTCGAGAGACGCCCGTCGTCTGTCTTTGCAGCACGCACAGTAGCTGCAGGCGTTCAGCACGGCTAGACAAACCCAACAACAGAAAAATAAGGAAAACAACAAAGCACGGAGGCAAGTTCCGTCTTGCTTGCGTTGGGAGAGGACCTTCCTCCGTGAATGGCTGCCCCTCGTTGACGGCGGTTTTTGCACCATCGATTATTATCTAAATGCATTAAGAGTGGTTATTGCTTCAGTATGTGCACACTTCATTACGTACACTTCATAGCACCACAACACAGCAGCTACAGCTCCAGATGACGGCTCATGCAAGCCAATCATAGCCCGCTCATCCAACAGGTTCCATCGCAATAGGGGTTATAGAACAGGGCCTTCAAGCGGCCCAACAAACAATACTAAACAATACCAGAGAAGGCCCGCCATAGTTAAGGACTCGGTGTACAGACTGCTCGGCGAGGCTAAGAGGCCACAGCACGGAATCACCTGCTGCTGCGGGGGCGGCTATTGCATATCTTAGGCAACTGGGTTTGACGGTTTGTCTAGCTGTGGAGCCCCTCTAGAAGCAAATCGAGTTTGTGCTCAACTCGACTAAGCTGCTGTGACAGTCGCTTTTGTTCCTCTTCAACGGTAGAAAGACGCGCCTCCAGCTTTGAGCCTGCGTCGTGAGAGAAATGAAGCAACAAGAATAATAGTTGGTTGGAATAAACAGGAAGTAGGGTAATTCAATTTCCGAGTACACGTCAAAGAGAACTTTTGAACCCACTGAAGCTACTGAGCATGGGGTCTTCTCGACTGTCGTTTTTGGCATTTTTGCAGGTGTATGCAGAATGAAATGCAAGAGGATTTACAGCTGTGTACCTCGATACCAAAGGATACAGAGGCATGTAGGCATGAAAATACTTCTCACGAGCAACGTCGGCCGACACGACTAATTACCGTTGTCACTGCGTGTTGAGTGCTGTGCGTTTTTGCCGCTTACCTGCTCCGCTATCGCTACGCCTTAGGGCGGCAAATCGGCTCTGCAGTTTTTCGAGTTTTCCCGGGTCAATTGAGGGGAGTTTTCTTTCGTCTTCGCTACTTCTTCCAGATGCTGAACGGAGTGCAGCGGAGACCTGCTTTATGCGCAACAAGCAGATTGAACAAACACACTCTAACAGCCAAATCAAATGGGCTAGCACACATGGTTGACGATCACACCGTTGTGGCTGACCTAGGATTCATTTGCATACGCAAAGCCCATGTACAAGACCCAACGGCTCGGGGATCTAAATCTACACTGCTGAACGGATGTGAATAAGTTGAAACGACAGAGGGAGATGGTACACGCCTGCACGTCACACTCCTACATTTAGTAACACTCAAAATTTCGTATGAATGCTTTTGTGTGCCTATTTTATAATTGGGGCGCAGTCTACTTGGAGAAATATAGCCCACTTCGTTTGTCCTCGCCACAAAGTCTAAAGTGCGAAGATTCTTCAGATTTCCGAGGGCAAAATCGGCTTCGATACGTTGACTTTCCTCCTGCAATATAGCAAAAAGACAAAGACAAGCAAAAGCGCCCCGACGAGTTCACTTCTGTTGGAGCAATCACGAAGGATGAAAAATTACCACAATGAAATTCTTAGCAGGCAAACTAGAAGATCGCGTTCAGAGGAAGTGTCAGCTGCAGCTGACCAACCCAGCAGCATCGTTGGAGAGAAAACCAATCTATACTGTATCTACTGAGCAGACGTTCTTGACGGTGTTTCAGTTCATTTTCTTGCCTTTGCAAGTTTCATTAGAGCTGGGAGTTGAGCACTACAAAAGCTCTCAAGAGTGCGGCAGCGCCATTTGCCGCCAAACTCCGAGAGACCGAAAAAGACAAGGCCTCCTTTGTCCGTTGCGACGTTGTTGTTTGCACGAAGGGACTGAAGGTCGATTGAAAACAAGGGAGGACCCATGAACCCCTCGCATATCTCTATTAAACCGCCCTCCAGCTCTGTTGAAAACAAATGCAACATGAGGCAGGCACACACCTTAACACAGCAAAACCCACAGCCCACAACACAGCACATGCCACAGCACACAACAGAGTGAAGCACACATTACCCTCTACACTACACGCACCCGTGATTGACAGGCCCGTTGTGTAGACGGCTGCAGCGAGGATGATTGAGTGACAGGTGTCGGGGACGGTCTCCAAGTCAATAGCCAGGGAGTTGGTTTTTTGATTGAGGGAAAAGCTGCCGCTGGCGTCTTCAGGGTGCTTGTAGAAGATGCAATCCACGAATGAGCATGCACTGTCAAAAAGAAGCGCAAAGATGTCTGCAAACGAAACAAGCACAGGACTGGTTACTGAGCCTTACCCCTGAAAAACAATCAAATGCAGCTACGAAGAGCCGCACCTCCCTGCTTATCCCTAGCGTCGTTGTAGGACTTCATATGCAGCACTTCAATGAGCGGCTATTCTTGAGTCATGCATGCATACACTGAGCTACACAGCGATGCATCTACCTGCTGTATTTTCCAAAACAAAAGCACTAAACCGCCAAACGCACCGATGTCTATCCCTCCTGGATAGGCGTCTTCATCGAAAGTAAGTCGGACGCATATTTTCCGAAGGGCAGACAACTGCGAGAAGGAGACTGCAGGGAACAGCATCAAGGCAAGGATACGGTACAATGAACAACAGCTGATTTGCAGAATAAGTTAAGGAAGCAAAACACCATAGGATACAGGATGCGTCTTTCTCCTACAGCTCACCGCGCCTCGATGGGGTCACCTCGTGGCCTCTGTCTCGCGCACTCGAACCGAGACGACCGTAAAATGTGTCGCTACGTGCATGAAGCGGCTCATCATCAGGAGAGGAGCTGGGTAAATACCCGCTGTATCCACTGCTAAGTCTTTGTGTAGACATGGCTACGACTGTAGCTAAACCCCAGAACGTGCAGAACGACCCGATGCCCAGGAGAGGAACAACTCCGAAGTAGGCCGAGATCTTCGACCCTTTTTTGCGGCCTTTTCAAGGATCTAAGCCTTCACCTATGCCAATCCTTAACTGGTTTGCTTCAGAAGATGCTCATCAGACCGCAAGACTGTGCTCGTCCACTGGGGACAGTGCCGAGCTCAAGAAGGAGGGAGCCAGTACTTCCTTGCATACGAAGTTGTTTCTGGTGAGCTTGTTTGACAGGGGCTTGAATATGCCTTTTGGAGGAGCAGACACGCAATAAGAAACGAATACACACGAGCCGCTCTCTCCCCTGCCCTGTTCGTCAACGGGAACCACTGCAACTAGAATGACTTCTTTTGAAGCAAGCGGTAGAGGAAGATAAGTAGAGAGAATCTTGCTTTAGTTACCACAAACATACGCACATTGCGCAGACAAGGAAGAGATGCAACTCACTCATCTAAGTAGTGGGCTACTGAATGCGCGTGCCCAGTGGACGCAGGACGCTGAGGGCTCGGCAGTTGACAGAAGCCTCGAAGCAACGACCCACATCTCCGTTTCTTCTCGTTACAATTAAAATAAAACGGACATTTACAGCTTTGTACTGTCAATGAAGATATAAACGGAGCCTTGATTATAGGACAATGAGCCACGACTCAGCTTTCAGCGTTGAGCCGGGACTCAATGTTCAGTCGTCAGCGAACGGGCTTAACACCACGTGTGACAACTCTGCGATGTGAAAGTTGTATAATAACCCATATTTGTGTACAGTGCTTTCAATAAATCATTTAATTGCCCCCTCATTGGGGAAACTGATTTATGGGGACGAATTCGCAGGTCTGCAGTTGCGGCACACGAAGGATGCCTGTCTAACATCCATTGCCACCTGATGCAAGCTGCGGTTTAATAATTAAAAATATGTTTGGTGCCAGATGGACTATTTCAGGTCATCACTGTGAATGCCACTTCATAATGCTCGTGGCAAACGTCCCGAATCTTAAGCGCAAACCGACGTGAGCTGCTAGGCGGCCTTGAACGAGGGCCCAAAAAGCAGCTGTGCTCACCTCCGGGTGTCCTGAGCACAGAAGCATAAGGGCCTGGGGTGTGTACTTAGAGGAGATCAGGCTATGGCAAGAGTCATCGACCCCAGAACAGCTGCAATACAATACAATTTTCATGTTTCAAGGAATCAGCAGGGTTCCTCCTGCTTCCAAGGGTTCTGTGCCAAGCGACTGATAGGTTGGGGGCTGGAAAGCTGAGAGGATGTCTTGCCACGAGTTGCGTCATACCCTGCTGCAACTCGTGTTGAAAGGCAATCTCAAATGCAAGCGTGCCCAAGGCCCCTGGTGATGCGTGCACCGGCACTCTGGGAAATTGTTCAAAGCCTACTTGTCCCTCGGTAGACAACACTCATGCGCGCATAAATACATGTACCAACATGCATGCCAAATACTTTTTCCCCCCAATGGCACGCGCCCGCATTTTCCTAGCCACCCACCAAGGCGTGGAGCGAGGGAGGAGCTCCAATTTTTGCTGCTACAGCAGCAAAAAGTGCGGCGGGAGCCCCTCTCTGCGTAGTTGTTGCTGCTGTCTCAATAAAACACGATTCGTCTCTTGCTACTGCCTCACTTGCTGCTGCGTCTCCTGTTGTGTATTTCCTGGTGGTCTGTCTACAATTTGCTTATCCAGGTGCTCTTAGTGCTGCTCCAGTTGCAGCTGCTGCTGCTTGTGCTGCCCCTCTTGCGAATGCTGGTACCGCTAGTAAAAGGCTACACAAGCTGCAAGCTTTTACTGTTGTTTTCACTACTGCTAAGGTTCTGGCCAACCTTAATGCACCCGTTGCTCTTGCTGCTGCTCCCGTTTCTGCTGTTCAGCACAATGAGCTGTGGCAGCTTGGTTCTTTGCCACGGGACTGGTGATCCCTTTTTCTAGGCTCTGGGTTGGGAGCCACTTTCAATAGGAACACGGAAAGCTAATACACATGCTAATAACCGCTGCAGACATTCAGCAACAGTCTGCGCATTAGTCGAGCTAGGCTCACAGGCATGGCCCAGCTCCAAAGCGCGTGGAAAGGGTGCGCCGTCGATGAGAACGCCAAGATATCCAATGAAGCGTTTTAGAAACCGCCCTTTAATGGTATGGCAACACCTCCAAGTTTGAGGGACGTCAAGGATGCACGCCAGCACGTTGACCCGAGAAAGAACAGTAATGTACGCTAGCCAACGCGTATCCAACTTTGGTTACTCGAAGTGGGCGAGTAACCAAAGTTCTAAGCGCATGTATATTAGGCTCTCATGCTCTCTGAAGTGGGCGAGTAGAGCGCATGCGAGCCTATTATACTTGGGGTGCTGTGCATTCATCTTACAATCAGGCTCTACTGCCAGCTGTGTATGGATATCGGCAGCTGGTAGTTAATTTGACTGGGTGCATTGACCCATATTCAACATCAGGTCAGACGACAGTTGCTGGATGTGCAGTTGGGAAGTAGAATAGCGTGTGGATCGGCGAATCGGTTTTAATGATGAGCTTGGTTCCTTCAAAAGGGCGGAAACCAAGCGACTAAGATCAACTTTTCTAGCTACAAAGTTGCTCATACTGCACCAGAATGCGGTTGCTAACAGCCCCATCTTGTTCCCATTAATGATTTATTTGGTAGATGTTTAGTTGTAGCTCCTGCAACTGGGTCACTTTTGAAGCCCTTTCATTCTTTTCCAGCTAAGGTAGTGGAGCTGGTAACTTCTTTATTTGATGCCTTAGCACTCCACCCAGTCAATCGTACTAGACCCTTACCGAACAGTAGCCTCGCTGCGGGGGATCGCTTTCGTAAGCGACGGTAAGAAACTTCTTAGTTCACCGTTGGAATTTTGCTCACTACACGCAGATGGTAAGTATAAACTGCAGCGCTCCATCGACGCTTTACCTTGGCTAATTTTTCTTCGTTCTGCCTTGGCCTGTTTTTCTGGCGACCCTGATCACGGCGCCGTGCAGCGATCTCCCGTAATTCGGATGTGTCCCGGGAAGGCTGACTATCCCGACTCACTATATCCATCACTACTGTTCCAGAATTTCTAATGTAGTGGGCGCCAATGGCACGTGTAGCTCTTCGGGGACATTTTGAAGTCGAACGCCGACCTCGTGAGCAGCGTGGGACTCTTCCGCTGCCCCCGCGTTGCAGCACCTGAAATACCCCCAGTAGTTCTCAAAATGCGGTGGCTTTGCTTAAAAATTTGTCTTGCTACGAAAACATAATTCGCCGGGTATGAGGCAGATAACTTGCTCAAATGCGGCGACGAGCTCAGGTTTGCCACCTCCCCTCCGAAAGGAATATCCTAGTGAATCTTCAATTCTGCGGAACGTTTACGAGACTACTACGGAATATATATAGAGAAAAATACCTCAGGCAGTTGCGAAAAACGGCATCTCTAGTAATTTACCTGTGCAGGTGTGGTCCACCACGCGCAGCTACCGCGACAAACCTTGCGGAGTAGCTGCCGCAATGAAGGCCTTGGATCTTAGCTAGGACCGTCGCGAGCTGCAACATAGTAAAATATTTAGGATGATAATCCCGATAAAGCAACTAACGTTCACTTCAATCTTGAATAATCGTGGGTACACTAGGTCAAAGCTGGGGCTGGTGTGGTGGAAAGCCGGCCGGTCACGAGCTGCAAAGCAGATGGCTACAACTAATACTGCAAGGCAAAACCATGCTAAAATTCAAACAATGCTAGTATGTTGCATTCACTCACACCAAACAATGTAGGCTTCCGTTGCCCTAAAAATGCAGTTTGCGTGGAAGCAGCATGGCCCGTACCGACCATGCTACACCAGGCCTTTGAGCCGTTGGACGTCAGACGTCTAGAGAGTACAACCGAGTCTGTAGCAATTTTCTGGAGGGTTACTTTCAAGAGAGTTGGTAACTAACTGCAACGCTCAAGCTGCCTCATATTCGATCGAGGTCTGTAACTACAACGTCGCTGGGGGCTGCTGGACTTCGGTTAACGGGTGATGCTAAATTGGCTAAAAGCTTGCCGAAACGACCTGAAGAAAAATGAATGACTTCAATTCCAAGAAGATTAGACCTAAAGACGGGACAAGCTGTTTTCTAGATGAATAACAGACGCTGAAGAGACCCGCAGCTCTATCTGCGGGGCACTGCTCTCGTGGGGGTGTGGGGGGTTGTACACAAACTCATGAGCTTGTAAATGGAGTTAAAAGCAATTTTTTCTATACTTTCGATTTCAGATGTGTACAATTGAATTCGACAGATATAAAAAGCAGAAAATATATACCTTTAATCACTTTTTTTCCATTGCATCCATAGATGCCCCGCGCAACGTGTACAGCCAAGCCGACGTGGCCGCCGAGCCGCGGGAGTGTACATACATGATTTGGTTAGGCACAGAGACGAAAATAAAGCTAAAAGAAAATAATAAAAAGAGAATTGAATAATAATTTAACAATTAATTTGATGCGTGGCGAGTTGCTGCGGGACACCGACAGCAGCAGCGGTTACTGTAGCAGCAGCAGCAGTTTCATCATCACCCAGCTGCAGCAGCAGCAGCGGCAGCAGCACACCCCTCTAGCAGCGGCAGTAGGGCTGCGCTGCTGGCCACGAATCTAGCGCAGTATGGGCCTCGTTGCGGTGCTTGTGTTGTTGTTTTGTGTTATTTTGCTGCTGTAGTGTAAACAACAGACTCGCTTTGGTTGCTGCTGTTGCTGTAGGAACCTGCGGAGCGGATACTCCTGGGCCTGCTCTCTCACCGTTGGGTTGGTTGCACCTGGCCGTCTGTCTCGCCTTCTGTCTCTCTCGTTTCTTGTTTTTATCTCTTCCGCTTTGTTCTGTTCAAAGCAAACCGTTTGGTGTCCGAAGGCTGCAAGAGTTGCTGTAGCTCCTCTGTACTTAAGCCCTGGCCGTTGCTGCGGTCCCCCGCAGCAGCAACAGCAGCGGCATAGCGGACGGCAGGAGCAGGAGTTGGCCCAGTCTTTTGCTGCTGCAGCTCAACAACTGCAGCAATATATACTGCAGCAATAACGAACGTTACTGCAGCAGGAACTCCTTTGTCTCTGCCTCGCTTCCCTCCTCTTCTTCTGCGTGTTGTGGAGCAGCAGCTACTGCAGTCCGCGTGTTCGCCTGTCTCTCGGCTCGCAGTTGCAGCTTTCTGTGCTTTTATTTTTATCCGCTTTAATATCTGCGTCGCCACTTGACGGTTTTTGGGCTGCTGCCGTTGGTGCTGCTGCTGCTGCTGCGGCACGTGCTGGCCTGGCCCCCACATCATTCTGAAAGGAAGAGAGCGGGTGCTCCGACATTCTTGCTCCGTTTTTTGTCGTGTTGCCGCATTTGTTAGAAGCAGCCAAGATGTCCACTGGCCATCTTTCGCCGTCGCCTGCAGTGCTGCAGCAGCAGCAGCCTGGGGGAGCAGCAGCAACAGGGCCGCAGCCGCCTTTGGCGGCTCCTCAGCAGCTGCAGGGTTCTTCTCCGTTGGTGGGTGGAGCGCCTGCGGCTGTTGGAACGCAGCAGGGTGGCCAGCAGCAACAGGGTGCGCAGCAGCAGCAGGATGCTTCTGCCCAGCAGCAACAGCTGGCGCAGGTGCAGCCTCCCGCGCAGCAGCAAGCATCGCAGCAGCAGGTTGCCGCTCCTTCAAACACATTGCCTTCGACGTCTCACCCGACCTATGTATCCCCTTCTCTGTACATCGGAGATCTGCAGCCAGACGTGACGGAAGCCATGCTCTTTGAGGTATTCAACTCGGTGGGGCCTGTGACTTCGATCCGCGTATGCAGAGACACTGTAAGCCGCAGGAGTCTTGGGTATGCATACGTGAATTACCAGACATTTCAGGATGCTGAGCGCTCTTTGGATGCGCTAAACTTCACTATCATTAGAGGGCGACCATGCCGCATCATGTGGAGCCAACGGGACCCAAGTTTGCGCAAGAGCGGCGCCGGCAATGTCTTTGTGAAGAACTTGGATCGTAACATAGACAATAAGGCTTTGTATGACACATTCTCCCTCTTTGGAAACATTCTCAGCTGCAAGGTTGGAGTGGATGAGGCTAATAGAAGCAAGGGCTACGGTTTCGTGCACTACGAGAGTGAGGCTTCTGCAAGGAACGCTATTGAAAAGGTTAATGGTATGCTTATAGGTGGCAAGACAGTGTACGTCGGGCCATTCATAACGAGGTCAGAACGTGAGAGTGCAGGAGTCAACCGTTTTACAAATGTTTACTTAAAGAACTTGCCGAGATGCTGGTCAGATCCGGAATCCTTGCGCCCTATACTGGAACCTTTCGGGGAGATCACAAGCCTTGTTGTTAAACAAGATCCAAAAGGCCGCCCCTTTGCCTTCTGCAACTATGCGGAGCATTCAGCAGCTAACGCCTGTGTGGAGACACTCAACGGCAAGGTTGTGAACTCTGAGGGCTTCAAGGAGGCACCTGCTGCAGCAAATGATACAGCAGCAACCGGACAGACGGGAGGTGCACAGGGAGAGACAGACGACGCGTCCGCGGGAAAGTCCAAGGATGCTGCAGCAACAAACTCCAACAGCAGCAACACCAGCAACGGCACATCCACCACTACCAACGGTGGGTCATCTGCAGAGGGCGGCGAGGGCAACACAAGCAGCAGCAACGCCAGCAGCAACACCACCAGCAGCGACGAGATGATCCTGTTTGTGGGGCCACACCAGTCGCGGGCACAGCGTACTGCAGCCCTGCGCATGAAGTATGAGCAGCAGCAACAGGAACGCGGGGAACGCTACAGAGGAGTTAACCTGTACGTTAAGAACCTTGACAACTCTGTAGATGATGACAAGTTGAGGGAACTATTTGAACGCTTCGGCCCGACAAGCAGTGTAAAGGTTATGAGAGACGAGAAGGGCGTTTCTAAAGGCTTTGGTTTTGTATGCTTCGTATCTCCCGATGATGCTAGCAAGGCCGTGGCAGATATGCATCTTAAATACGTTAACGGCAAACCCCTATACACAGGGCTGGCAGAGAGAAGAGAACAGAGGCAACAGCGCCTGCAGCAGCGCTTCCGCTTGCCGCAGCTGAGACAGGGAGCTGCTGCTGCGGTACCAGGACATGTCGGATACCCAGGCGCAGCGGCGGCAGCAGCAGCTGCTGCTCTTCCAGGAGTTGCTGCCTATCAGCAGCGCGCCATGATGTACCCTGCGCAGTCACACATGGCTGTTCTGCCATGGGCAGGCAGACAACAACAACAGCAACAGCTGCAGCAGCAAGGACTCGCCTTGCAACGCGGATTGCCTCCGGCTGCGTTACAGCACATCTACGCTCCGCAGTCCGCCGTCGCCGCTGCAGCAGCCCTCCAGGTTTCCTTGCAGCAGCAGCAACAACAACAACCCATCATGCAGCAGCAACGAGGAGCGCCTGCACACAGAGCTGCGCGTGGGGGAGCAGCAGGCAGTGCAAAGCAGCAGCAGCAACAGTTGCTGAAGCAGCAGCAGCAGCTTCCCGGAGGTGGCTCATTCAAATTCACACCACAGGTGCGCAATCCCCGTGTGGATCAGCAGCAGCAGCCGCAGCAGCCTCCTCCTCCTCTGCACGTGCAACAGCAGCAGCAGCCACCTCTTGAGGCGGCGCACGTGCTGCTTTCTCCCGAGGCGCCTCTTACTGCAGCGGCTTTAGCAGCAGCACAGCCCTCGATGCAGAAGCAAATGCTGGGAGAGAGGCTCTTCCCCCTAATTGCAAGACACCAGCCTGAACTTGCCGGCAAAATTACAGGAATGATGCTTGAGATGGATAATAGCGAATTGCTTATTCTATTGGAAAGCGAGTCTCAACTTAAGAACAAGATAGAGGAGGCTCTTGGTGTCCTTCGTGGTGCAAACTAATGAAAGTGCTGACGAGAGCCCTACGAGAGGAGCCAACGTAGTACAAGCAGCAGCAACAGCAGCAGTCAAGCAGCCAAGGAGATGTACCCGTCCATCAGCTGCTGCGAAAACAGCTGCACAGACTGCAGCAGTAGCAACAACTGCACAGACAGCTGCTGCGTAGGCAGCAGCTGTAGCAGCAGCTGCACAGACAGCAGCTGCACAGACAACAGCTGCAGCAACAGCTGCAGCAACAGCATGCAAAGCGCGGAATAAGGAGTGCCCATGGGATTGCCGAGAGGGTTCCCATCGGTGGTAAAGTGCCTCGCGCTGTTTTCAGCAGCAGCGTGGTGCGCCGTTCGGCGCCGTTGCTGCAACAGCAGCAGAAACAGGAGGAACAGAAGCAGCTGCTGCTGTGAGAAGGGTGAAATATAAGCCTCTGTGAGTGGAGGAGTCAGCAACAAGGACACGGTGCTGCCGAACGAGGCAGAAGGAACAGGCAGACGAACAGGATTTAAAGAATGTGAGCGAGGAGGAGGCACGGCTAGGTTCTGCTGCTGCTGCGCAGCAACAGCAGAAGCAGCAGCAGCATAATTCAATGATCAGGAGACGGAGGGGACAAGGAGAGATCATTGGTTGTTGCAGTCTCCTCTATTGGTATGTCTCCTTGCCCGGAGCAACTGCACTTCATCAGCAGGGGCTTCTTACTCGCTGATAGCAGCTGCAGCACGTGCAACCGCACGTGCTGCTGCAATAGGGCAGCAGCAGCAGCAGCAGGTCCTGCTGTCGCTGCAGTGTAGGCGTGCATGTATTTATCTACAGTTGGGGTAGGGGTATTTAATGGGTAAAACAAATAAAAAAGCGAAAAGCAAAAAAAAGAACAAACTTTATAATGGCCACATTCAATCGATCCAACAAACGGAAGGAGACAGGAGACAGCACAGTTGACAGTCTGGATGCAAAGTAGACGAACGTACGCATCTTGCAGTTGGACGTAAGTGTAGAAAACGCATAGTGACAATAGGCGGTTAGAGGCAAGTAGCAAGCATGAAGAGGACAGGGGGGGTTAGGCACAAGAATTGAGATAAATACAGGTGGAGAGGGGGGATAGCAAGTGTAGAAAGATAAGGGGGGGAAGCGGTAAATGGAGAGAAACAGATAGAAGCTGCTAGTAGAGGCATGGGTTAGAGCTGGGGACAGCAGCTGACGTAGAGGGGGAAAGAAGAGCAGACAACAGATTGAATCAAGCATAGGAGGAAAAGCAAGTAACAAACTGAATCAAACGGAGAAGCGGCGATACAGGACACAGGGACAGAACCAGGCAAAGGAGACGGAGGAAAGAAAATAAACAGTACAAATAGAGAGATACATTACGCGACACTATGGGGAGTAGGGCAGTTGCTAGTGACAGAGAGGCAAAAAAGAAGCAGAAGGCACAGGCAGTAGGCAGCAGGATCTGACAAGTAAGTTAGAAACAATACGGCTCAGAGGCCTTGCTAGCAGCAGAGACAAATACACCTGTCTCCCAATGTACAAGCGTGCCCCACAGTATGACATACGCACAGTCCCCTTCCAGTGATTGTTAGCCGTCACTTAGGGTGTGTCCGTCAATGGCCCCTTTGTCTACACTTGCATGTATGTCTATACGTTTCCCTGTACGACCTGCATTTGTTGCTGTATGTTCCTGTCTGTCTGTCTCGAACCTTTTCCCATCTTTCCTTTAATTGCAAAACCCTAGCTAGTTATTGCTTGGCGTTGCTAACACTAAGACAACGAAACGCTAAACAATTGAAAATATTAACCCTCCAGTCTCTTAAATAACACGGTGAGGGTCCCCTCCCAATCCCTCCTCCGCCTCATGCCCCCGCCACAACGCCCACTGGTTTTGTTTCCTGTCAGACTAGCCAGTTAGCTAGCTGCAGGCTGGCGATGGGTTGCTAGCTAGCTAACAACCCACGTTCGCCAACTATGAGCGTGCGTGCGTTTATTTTTGGGCATTTAGTAGATGTATTTCTTCTCATAGAGGGAGGCTGCTGCCTCAGCACCTCCTGCACCTCCTGCGTATTTGCCAAGCTGTGCATCGCTGTTGGCCTTGGCTCTCTGCAGGAGAGTTTCCTGTGCAGCCTGCTTGTTCTCGCTCTTTCCGGACCAGCGCTTCAAGCAGGAAGCCTGGAGGGCACGGCCGTAAGAGAAGGAGAGTTTCCATGGGTGGGGGCCAATGCGGTTCATGGCGTCGAGGTTAAGAGAAGCTTCTTCCTCGGACTGGCCACCAGACAGGAACATGACACCGGGCAGAGCTGGAGGTACTGTGCGAGAGAGAGCACGAACAGTGAAGAGAGCAATCTCCTGAGGAGTGGCCTTGGGTCCCTGAGCACCGGGGGTAACCATGTTAGGCTTCAAGAGAGCTCCCTCAAGAAGCACCTTCTGCTTCTGCAGCTCACGGAAGACGTGAGACAGGACGCGCTCGGTAACAGCTGCGCAGTGGCGGATGTCGTGAGAGCCGTCAGTAAGGATCTCAGGCTCCACAATAGGAACAAGCTTGTTCTTCTGGCAGATAGCGGCATAGCGAGCCAATCCATAGGCAACCTCAGAGATGGATTGCTCAGATGGCTTTCCCTTTGCCTCATCTATCTGGAGAACTGCTCTCCACTTGGCGAAACGAGCACCGGCCTCGTAGTAACGCTTGCAGCGCTCGCTCAGACCATCAAGACCCATTGTTGCCTGCTCGCCATCGGTGCAGGGGATCTCTTCAAGACCCTTGTCGACCTTAATACCGGGGATGATGTTCTCCTTCTTCAAGAGCTCGACCATGGGAACTCCCTCAGGGCTCTTCTGGTACAGAGTTTCCTCGAAGAGGATAGCTCCGCTGCAGTACTCGCCCAATCCCTTGGTCGTGAAGAGCAATCCACGGTAGAAAGCGCGGTTTGCCTCTGTGTTCTCTACGCCAATGGATGCGAAGCGCTTTGCGATGGTACCTGTACACAATAAATAGCATCACCAACGCCACCACATCAATAAGTTGATATCGTACACCATAAGTGGACACAGAAATAGAGCGGCAAACCCACCAGTGGTTGGAACAAAACACACGAAACGGCACAACATCGTTCTGCTACTACCATCCATCACATCCGAGACAATACTACTCTGAATTTACAAGAAAAAGTATATAGATAAGTTCTCAATCACACAAGAAAACAAACGATGGCCATATTTACCTGTGGACTCATCAGCTGCGAGAAGACCCTTGCCAGGGGCAGTGAGCGCCTTCGCGGTGGCGGCGAGCTCACGGGCGACTTCCTGGGGCATTTCACACTGCAAAACATACACAAACAGAAAAACAAACAAAACACTTGTAAAAACAAGGAAACCGACAAAAGACGAAATCAGCAGACGAGTACTGCGAGCCGCGAAATCCACACGGTGCTCGCGGTTCCCGCGGTGCTCTGTCGTCTCTAGCGACTGAAAAGCTGACGTAAACTGCTGCTCAAAATAATCTTTCAAACGAACACTAAAAGAAAACAAAAAAGACGCAGCTCCTAAGCTATGCATACACCCGAGCTTGCAGACGCGGTGGTGTGCACACTGCACAAAGCCAGGGAGCTGCAAACTACCGCAGCTCCAATGAACACGAACTTTGGTCTATACGCACCATTTTCGCAGATGAAGTGTATTAAATATACGAAATAAACGTAGACACGATGCCGCAGAACGAGAAACGTAGAAAAAACAAATGGTGATGAACGTAGGACGGAAACACCGTGTGGGGTGAAGAGGCTGCAGGGCTGGAGAGGCGGGGGAGTCCGTTTGTTTGCTCAGCCCCTTCCGTTCTTGCTGCTTTTTTCTTGTTGTCGGCTCTGTCTCGGAACTAGATCCTATTTAATGCACCTTACACTCCAGACAGGTGGAATTAAACCAATATGACCACCATTGGCTCACTTCAACAACAAACAAAGCCTGCATGGAATATCATAACACGATGTGTACACCGCGCGCGCTACCTGCGCTTCGCTGGTGTCGCCTTTCTGTTCAATAGCTGCTTGCACATATCTTTGCTTCTTTTGCTGCTGTCTAAATTTAGTAACAACAAGGGACCGAACACGACGTAAGCGAACAAAAACTGGAGTGCTTAATGGAACATCAAGGGATTGAAGTATCCCGAAATATTGCGTACGCTGTTTAGAGATGGGTGCATGCATTGCTTCTTGGGCGCAAATTTCTTATTCAGGGTTAAGTGAGTCTTTAGGAACTCTCTACTGTATTATGGCATCTCCTTCGGTGCCAGTTCTTCTATTTCTATTCAAGATGCATGCCTACACCAAAGCAGTAAAGAATTTGTACAATGCATTAATGCATGCAATAAAAGGAGTAGTGGATACGCTTGTAGGGGTGATCTCCCGCAGAAGGAATTGCAGTGAGATGAGCTCCAGCCTACGACAGGCTGCTGCACCCGGTATGGGCAGGGGTTACATGTGGTGATCAACCGGTTCTGAAGAACGTTTTTGCTAGTGATGGCACTGGGCAAGGCTGAGGAAGCCCGATACACTTGGTAGCGCCACAAGATAAAGAAGGGCGGGTATAGTTGCTGATACCATCCCCATGGCAATTATAGCTTAGTCTCCCCAATGTTCGCCTATATATATACCTGACGAATACAACGTACAAGTCGTGTTGCCGTTTCTCCGGAAGAAGGACGAAAACTTCCACATAGTCTTCCGAAGGTGGCTGTCAGGATTCCAAGCATTCTCTCGTATATTGGATAATTATTGGGATACGGCGTACGGCGGGGAGCCCAACGGGAGGCTTCGTGTCTTCGCGTGTTCGAAGCACAGCACCGCACAGCACGCGCCGCAGTCTACAAAGCTGAAAACGTTGCGATAATTGCTCGCATATGAACGTGTCGGACCTGCACATGAGAAGCCAGCCGAAGCAGATACCGGCGAATCCTGGACTCAGGAAGCAGGGAGAAGCACAGAGCAGCAACAGCGCTGCCGTGCCAATAAAAAATTTTCATACACTTCGGAACTGCAGAAGCATGAAAAACAGAAATTCGGGAGTCAAATATGCACAATCGCACCCGAAAGCCCCAAGGCTCGCCAAACCCACCACTGTGCAGTATTTGTGACTCCATTTGCAGTAGGATAGTGGAGACAACCTGCTTTTTCTCCTCCGAAACTGGCCTACAGCGAATCACCGTTCTCCGGTTCGGAGGTAAAACTAGTTCGTAGCAACCAACCCCATGCGCCTTCACTTCCACACATAATCCAAAGCATCTCGGGAACGCATGGAGAAGGCAAAGGAATACCACATAGGAAAGCATGGTAAACAAACAACATATGTTGCATTTAATGGAGTGTTTCGGTAGATTCGCAAGCTTTCCCAAGCTCGCAGCCGGGCGACTACTAACTGAAGGGGTTTGCTTATGCTTTGAATGGGGCAGTTTAATGCTTACTTTCTGGTCGACTCTGTGAAGACTCCGTCGTGATTAACTCACTAACTTCGGGATGTAGCCACGTTAGTGATGCAAATTTCCCAAGACGCTTCAATGAACCATCGCAGCAACTTCGTTTCCAGAAGGAGTAGCTGAAGGAAACTGAACTCATGGAGGATCAAACGCAATAGAGAACTAGAACGGCACTCTAAGCAACGAAAAAGTCATCAACTCACGTGGGTTTCTGAAGGACTGCGTGCACTTTATCTTCCTACTCAGGATTTTGGAGGCGCGAATGAGGACAAAGAAGGATCAGTGAGGGCTGATGCGCCAATCAGGTGCATCACTGAGACCAGGTTTTGTGGCTTTCCTCGTTTCCATTCTTGAATTGCACCGCTCCAGGCAGTATCTGGCAATTCCAGCTGAAATTAAAGAACGTCTGTCACGTACACACTCATGCCGGCGAATGATAGTTAAGCAGAATTTAATGGGTAAAAGGGGGAAAGCGAGGTGGAATGGTAGAATTAAACGGCAAAAAATGCTGAGGTTCCCCAAGCGAGCGTTCCCCGAGTGAGCGGCGTCGTGCAAGACTGGCGGATGTTAGCTTGTTGAAAAAGGGTCAATCGTTGCGACCTCAACAAAAAACAATCACAACATTGATTTCCATTAAGAAAGGGAGAATAGTGACCGGGAGCGAAGGCATGTCGCGCTTGCAGAAACTTGAACGCCTGCAGGAATTTTGGGTCCGCCGGGTGGGCGTGCAAGCCGCAAACAGACCAACGCGCGAATTGCGTAGTGGGTCTGCCTCCAGTTGAAATATACTTATATGCTCCATTAAGGTGTCATTTACTGCTTAAAACTGCAAATTTGTGCAGAGATGCAATGCAAAGAATGGCCCCGAGGCCCGTTGGACGGCTTCTGCTGCGTCCCACACACAGCTAGCAAACTGAAAGAAGAGGAAATTGCAGAGTGAAACGTATACAACACCCCATTTGAGTCGTTAATTTCAACAGTTATTCACAAAAAGACGTGTTTACCTCCTTTTCTTCTCCGCTTCCCTCAGGACGCGAACAGTACGCGCGATGAACATGCGTCACCGGCTCCACTCTAAGACAGAGAGCTGTGAACGACAAAGAAGGTACCAGAAGCAACTACGCCGTCGTCTAATTACAAGAGTCTTATTATGGTTGAGGACTCGTTGCAGACAGCCCTAGGAGGGCTGCTTACAAGAAAAGTGTTGGGTTGAGTCAACAGAGATCGCGCCATGAACTGGTAACACCGAACAGTATCCAAGGAAGCAGAGGTGTGAGTACACTGCAGGTAGATCAAGAACATGTTTCTCTTCAGTCAAGCAGCCGCCTTTAGGGGCCCCAACCTGCCTGCTGTCATCAGTCCGCCGTTTCGTAGAACTGCGACAGCAGCAGCAGCAACCGCAACACCCGCAGCAACAACAGGTACTGTTGAAACTCCAAAAAGACGAGATCTTCCAATTTCTCACAAGCGCCTCCATCAACACAGAAGCAGAAACAGCAGCTTGACTAGTAGCGCCGGAAGCAGCACGTCCATTAACACTCTTGACCCCAGCCTGACGGAGGTCAAGGGGCTTCCGTCTCAATCCCGCTGCTGTCTTCGCTTCTACAGCAGCAACACTAACAGCAGCAGCATAAGCGCTACGAGCACTACAGATAGTAGCAGCAGCAGCGGGAGGAGCAGCAACAGTTTGCCTGCTGGACCTACGAGCTCCGGCCTCTTGAGTAGTGGGGATCAAGGGGATACCCAGCAGCAGCAGCAAAATGCAGCTGAGGTAGGTTTCTTGAAGCAGCGAGACAGTCGAGTGTCTCCGTTGCTGCTGCCATCTCTGCGGCGCGTCTGTCGGCAGCTCCGTTTCCTGTCTGTACACCCCCATCTGCTAGCAGCTCTTTGCCCCCCTAAAGAAAAAACTCTTCTTGAGCGAACTACAGCACGCCAGAACCGTACACAAGCAGCAGCACAACAAGAAGAAGCAAAGAGGAACAAGGCACAACGGAAAGCAGCTCTGCTGCTGAACAAAGTGTGGGGAGGAGCCACATACTTCTCCCCCCATATTACCAGGGCCGCCTTATCAGAAGAATCTACAACAGCTCCAGCAGCAGGTGCAGCCTCACCAGCTGCAGTAAATGCTGATACAGCAACTTCACGAACGTCTAGAGCAGTGTCCTCACCTCCAGAAGACCTGCAGCTACCGCAACTGCTAACACGGGTAGCCACGAGATATGTGCGCAGGGAAGTGCAGCAGCATTTGCTGCAGCAACAAGCATCAGCTCAACAGTCGCCTGTCGGCATCTCCTCAGAATCAGCAGATGCAAGAGCCGCAGCGCCAACAGTAGCAGGAGCGGCAGCAATACCGAGATCAGTAGCAGGAACAGCAGTAGCAACGCCGAGCTCAGCAGCAGCAGGACCAGCAGCAGCAGTCGATGACTTACCAGAGGCTCTTTTTGCAGCAAGTCGTTGGTTGAGTGCAGCAAAGCAGCAATGCCTCCGGGTGTCTACAGAGCGCACAGTCTGTTTGATGCTACACGCTCTTAGAACTCTTTCTGACCTTGAAATGTCCCTGCAAAAAGGCCTTCATTCTGCTGCTGCTGCTGCTGCATCTGGAAGCAGTTCCGTTGTTTTTATGCCTGTCCGTGCTGCTACTCCTGCTTCTGCTTCTGCTGCTGATGCAGAGGGTTTTGACCTTCAGCAGGTGCTGCAGCTTGGGGAGGATTTAGTAGATGCCCTCCAGGCAGAAAAGAAGGAGCTGCTGCAGCAGGGTGCCCGCTGTCTCCGCACTTTCATTGAACTACAACCGGACAAAAAAAAACCCCAAAGCAGCGGCAGCAGCAGCGGCAGCAGCGGCAGCAACGGCAGCAGCAGCAGCAGCAGCAGCACCCCCCTCTTTCCTTCTCGGCGCCAGCTGCACCAAGCGGCCAATAGGCTGCTCCCAGGCCACATGCGACCGTTCCAGAGACCACAACAACAACGTCAGTACCAGCAGCAGCAGCAGCAGCAGCAGCAGCAACACGCGCAACAGCAACAGCAACTGAGGGGGCTTTCGGGCGCCTTTAGACTGGTTCCTGTGGAACAACTTACAGCAGATTCACTCTGCGCATCAGGAACAAGCAACAGCAGCAACAGCAGCAGCAGCAACGACGGTCTGCGTCCGGGTCTGCTGCTGGTAGCTCATCCCTTTTTAGCTGATGCTTTTGTCCGCGAGTCTGTTGTGCTGCTTACTTCAGTCTCCCAGAATACTGTTGAGGGATTTATGTTAAACCGCAGCTGCAGCAACAGCAGCAATAACAGCAGCCGCCACAGTAGTAGCGGAAGCAGCACCAGAAGGGGCATGAAGCTGCTGCAGCGCTCCATTGAAACGCTGCCCTCTCCGCTGCACCTACTGGCAGCATGGCAGGAGCGGCAGCGACAGCAACCAGGGAAAAAGCAGCAACAGCGCGAGCAGCAGCAAGAGCAGAGTGGTCAGGTGCAGCAACCCGATGTGCAGAGGTGCAGCACGGGAGTTGGACAGGGTAGTAGTTGGCTCAGTTTGCTTGAAGAGAACCCCCAGCTGTTTCTATTGTTGCGGGAGGCACAGGTAGCAGCAGCAGCAGCACAGGCATCTTGGAGGAAAAAGAAAAAGTTCCTACAACAACAGCAGCAGTTGCTGCACCAAGCGCTGGTCACAGCCTTGGCGCAGCGAGCTGTGCAGACGCTGCCTCTCTCTCCCCACAACAGCAGCAGCAGCAGCTGTATTATTGTCAGCACTAGTGGCAGCAAACGTCTTGACGGCGTTGGAAGCAGCAGCAGCAGCAGCACCAGCAGCAGAAGCAGCAGCAGTTACATACTGCGCGCTGCACCTGCCGGAAGGGCGGATGCGGGCCCCTTGGACAAACTGCTTTCCCCTGCTTTCTCTGGAGGTAGGCAAGGACGAGATGGTGGTGCAGTCCGAGAGCAGCAGCAGCAGCAGCAGCGCCAGCAGCAGCAGCTTCTCCTATGGCTAGAAAATGGTTTTAAAAGAGAAGGCTGGGATTCAGCAGCGGCAGCAGGGGAGTATCAGGCACGGAAAGCCCTTCTTCAGCAACTGTTCTGCTTGCTACAGCAGCTACAGCTAGCTGAAGCGTTCAACCCTCCCAATAGCAACAGCAGCAGCAGCACCATCACCAGCACCAGCACCTGCACTACCAGCAGCAGCAGCAGCAGCAGGGAAAGGCTGACTGGAGTTGAAAAAGTGCGTCTCGGGGGCCCCTGTGAAGGCTTTGTAAAGCTAAGGGCAGAGAGATGGAGAGGGAGTAGAGCAGACGGTGCGCGGGCCTCGAGCTGTCTGTACACCGCAGAATCCCAAATCCAATGCCACGCTGCAGCAGCTGCTGCTGGTGCAGCAGCAGCTGCTGCTGGTGCTGCCGGTGCTGCCGGTGCTGTTGCCGCCGGGGCTGTTGCTCAAGTGAGCGAGAGCGATCCTTTGTCGGTTAATGAAAGTCTCTTCTTAGGGAAAATGGTGTGGAAACAACGGCAGCTGCAACGCGAACTACGGGAGGGCCTGTGGCTGCTGCTGGAGTGTACAGACACCGCAGCGCTGGAGGAGTTGGTATTTGGCAGCTGCAGCGCATGCAGCCCCGTCTCGAGCAAGTTCCCCAAGCTAAAGGGGGGGAAGGAAGCTGCTGCGGCTGCTGCTGCTGGGGCTACTGGTGCTGCTGCACCTGCTGTTCCATGCCCCCTCTGCTGCAGTCGCGAGGTGTACAGACAGCTGCTGGCTGCAGCAGACAATGCAGATTCTCCCTTCTTTGCCTCTGCCTACCGCCTCTCCCCTTTAGTTGCTGTTGCGCTGCAGCAAGCAGTCAATGGCGCCTGAATATATTCACTTAATTGTGCTAATCTTAAAACTAGTTGGCACCGCCTCAGCGGCTATATCCAAGCAGCACGTAAGGGAAATCAAATAATAAATAACTCTGCCTTCAAGCGAGTGCCAAGCTGCTGCTGCCACATTCGAACGCCGCTTGCACAGCTGCAGCAGCAGCACTCCCAGAAACAACAGCGCGCACAGCAGCAGGAGCTGCTGCAGTTGCAGCAACAGATTAGTTCGTTAGCTGGCTGGTTAGCCGGGCAGGGCTAGTTGACTAGTTGACTAGAAACCAAGTCAGATGAGCGTAGCTACTTGGATAGCTAGCCAGGTAGTCGGCTGGTGGTGACTAGATATTTGCGCAGCCTGCCTCCCTGCTCTTACGCGTTCTTGTTCCTTCTTGCTGCTACACTCGCTGATTGTTCCCGCAACGGTGCCCGCTCCCTGCAGCAGTGCTTGCAAGCGGTGCATGCATACAGTGTAAATAAACTTAATTCGAGTTTCGGATCTGATCCGTTTCAATCCATGCATGCATGCATGCATGAAAAGGTGCAAGCACCACGAAAAGGTGCGTAAACACCGCAGCTTTTACCCCGTTGCTGCTCCTGCTCCCTTGCCCCTGCAGGACACTTACTATTCGGCTCAAGTGCATGCATGCAATACACTCCCTTGGCATCTGCGGTTATTCTTCCACACAAATAAATAAAGTGGTAACTTGCTGCTGCCACGGGTGCATGCATCATTGACGTAGGCAAGTGTGTACACACTACACGTCATGTGCTTGCAGGCGGTTTTCTTCAGGTTTTACCTCTGCTTTCCATCTGTTTATCTATTGTTATTTCTCCCTTACACCCATTATCCTTACTTCCCACCCTTCTCTGTTTCCTTTTGATGCTCGCCTTTCTTCCCTCCTCCCTGCTGTGCCTGCTGCTGGGTTACCCCCGGCTGTACAGAACCCCCATGGCCTGATGCTCCCTCCGACTTTCCCTTCCTCCCGCTGTTCTTGTTGCTGCTGTTTCCAGTGCCGCTACTCCCAACCGCTGGGGCCCCTGGGGTGCGCTGCTGCTGCTGAGAAGCGGCGTGCTCTGCTGGCCTGCCAGGTTTGTCCTGGACACCTGAGGCTCCTGCTGCTTCAGCTGCTGCTGCTTCGTGTTTTGCTGCTTCATGCTTTGCTGCTTCATGCTTTGCTACTTCATGCTTTGCTGCTTCAGGTTTTGCTGTTTCAGGCTTTGCTGCTTCAGGTTTTGCTGCTTCAGGTTTTGCTTCTGAAGGCGCTGCTGCTGGGGGTGCAGCTGCTGGGGCTGCAGCTGCTGAAGGCTCTGCTGCTACAGGCTTAGTGGGTGACCCCAGCGAACCAAGAGCAATAGCCCTCCTTACTGATTCTTCCTGTCTAAAGGCGACCCATGCATAGCCGTCGTTGTACTCTCCTCGCAAGTACACTTCGATGTCTACAGGTCCGTAAGTCGCCTGCAGGCGCTGCTTCAGCTGTGCCTGCAGCACGCATGCATGCACGCATTAACAGAAAAAATATGGAGTGCATGCATGCATAAGCAAAAACCGGAAAGGCGCGAATGCACACAACAAAGGAATAGAAACAGAACGCTGGCAGCAGCACACCGGACATAGGCAAACCCTTGCACAGCAGATGCAAGCACTAATAGACAACACAACACCGCCAATCCCTCTGTTCTGCTCCGTTGCTGAAAGACTTGTTGCTGACCTCTGAGAACCAACTCGGGATGTGGTTAATATACACCCGGGTCGCTGGATCGACAAACATGGGCTCCTCTCCGTAGAGCAGCCGCCACGTCGGCTCTGAGCCTGCAGGAACTGCCATCTTGAATAATAGGAGAATGATGTAGTAGGTGCTCTGAGGTGTGTCTGTTAAGAGAAAACCTCCTGCGGGCAATACACAAACAAAGGGAGGGGAGGGGAGCTGAGAGGGGCGGGGGAGGGAGGTAACTTGTCGCAAACTAGGACACAGAAACATAATCCAAAATGCTTTACAAGAAGACTCATGCAACAAAAATAAAAACGCAAAATTAGGTGAGTCAAGAGCTGTGGATCGCACGCGTCCCTCCCCCCTCAAGCTGCACACGGACTACCAAAGAGCGATGCACGCGAGCTGGCCTCTCTTTCTCCGTAAGAAGAATAGATGCAGCAGTTGGGTAAATAAACTCGAAATAACCAGTGTAAAAGACCATGGCCTCTAAGCCATTAACACATGCCGGTGCATCCACCACAAGGCACACGCGACAGTCATAGAAATAAGGACGAAGCAAACATACACACCTCTGCTGCGTTCTTGTCCGGTAGCAAACCACCTAAAGAGTGGGTAAGAAGGCAATAAAACAATTAGAAAATCAAAATGTAATTAGAATACATAAAGGAAAAACACATTTGATGACCCTCTAGCGCGTGCCAACAGGTAATGCAGCACACGGGAACGGAGCGGAGCAGCGGAAGACCGTGCTGCTTTGCACACCTTGTGTGCAAAGTAGCTGTGTTTGTTCTGAATCGCGTACCCCAATAAAATACAATTAAATTCAATTAAATCAATTTAATATAATGTTTACACAATAATAATAATTCAAGACTTCTATACCCTCGTTATATAACAGCCAAATATAAACAAACTCCGCATGGACCCATTGGGCAAGACCAGCGGTGCGCGTCTCGAGACGGAGCCTTCTGTTCTTGTGTTGCGTCTAATTTGAACAAAATACTATGCAATTAAACATAATTTATAAAACTACAAATGCAATATATTATACAGGAAGAAGTAAATAGCACTATGTGTACATAGAAGGGTGCAAATACTGTTATTTACTAGGCGAGCGTCGTCTCGTAGAGCTCAAGTGACTCTTAGCTGCCCTTTAGTCCGGTGTGCCCTATGCCAAGATACATCCCATAAAATTAAGAATAAAACCCTCTAAATTAAGATAATTGTACCTTAACACACATTACAATTCCCTTATATCTGCAAAAGGTTGAGAAAAATATATCTTTCCTTTGCCCCCAATTGCGACGGTTACGCACTCAGCCCCAAAACTAATAAGCTTCGCTCTAGTGGTCTTCTAGTCTTATTTCTTCCCTAAAAGGTCTAATAATATTGAATATTAAGTATTATTGTATAAAGCATTGTAAGCAGTATATAATATAGTAATATATTCAATTATTTAGTGCTTTCTTGAGGGGAAAAAACCGCTAGATTCAATAGGCGGGTCTATTGTAGCACCTGCTAAATATACGTTAGGTGCGCGAGCAAAAAACCTATTGCTGCCCCCCTTAGTTGTTGTTTATTAAGAATAGTTATTATTATAATTGTTTTTTCTTATGAATAAATCAGGGATAACTGACGGTCATGGGGTATGACGAACAATGGCATTATAATGGTTATTATATTTCTTAATTATTACCTGTAATGTGTTTACTGGCAACAATATGCAATTTATAGCTTATTATTATTATTATTAAGATATATTTGTAGTAAACCCTACATATTTATTATATTATGCTCCCTTCCCT